GCATCAACGACGCGGTGGCCGGCTACGCGCGGGAGTTGGAGATGTGCGAGAAGAGCTTTGATTACTTAGTGGACGAACGTGCCACCGGGATCACCAGCAGCTTCCTGATCAGCGAGATGCATGTCACTGATACGGACTCGCTGATACGCCACGCGACTGTCACGTTCGTCTATAAGAACTCGGCTTCTCTCTATTGTCGTCACTCATCGGACCTGATCTTCGCTCCGGCGTCCGCGTTTCCAGATCCCCCGGGTGTAAAGAAAAAAGACAGGGACAACGTCGACTTGCGAGACTTCGTGTCCGTAGGCAGATCGGTTATCTTCAGGGCTGAGCCTTCCAGCAAAATTCCAAACTTCATGGTAATTATCGTCGAAGTTTCTTCCTTCGTGGATGTATACCTAAATTCAGTGGCTTTCCCTTGCTTTTAGTTGTAATTATACAGCGATAATATTGTGTATTGCTTGACTTGGTGAAAATGGAAATATGGTAATTTCAAATATTGTCATTCTGTAATTACAGACGTCGTCAGCAGTCAAAAACAATTCTGATTTGATGTTTCCTGTATATAATCTATATGTAAATAAGCTTAGCTAACAGTCTGTAAAGCGGATCTGTTACAGTGAGGATTCATTTCGTCATCCGCTTTGAAATCTATCTACATTGAAGACGAGGCTCACCGCGGCCTGATCTACAACTTTATCATATTCAAAACATGATCTCTGGGCCACTTTGAGCCTCATGGTTCAACCTCAAACTTTTCGGGGTCGAGGAAGCCCAAGGTATCATTTAAATGTAGCCTAGGCTTTTGCCCACTGAACAGATCAAATGGGGCCAAGCCGGTTGTGCTATGAGCGTGCCGATATTTTCCCACCTGTGTGGTGATCTGTTAGCAAGACTTACTGGCTTGCTACACTTATAATACGTTGGAGGTTGCATATAATACTTGGATGCCTACGTCAGGTTAGGTATAAATAGATTACCGTAAATAACCGCGATATCCCGTTCTACGTACAAAAATACAAAGTTGATAATCTAGCACGTAGGCCTTCCGTACTCATTCCTGTAGAGTAATTTTTTAAGCATTTTTTTGTACAGTTGATTGGAAGTATTGGAAGTTGATTTGTGTAATATTTGTTCGTAACTCTACAGCAAGCACTGCATCTTGTCTTCTGCTCTTTCCCATACTTTCTGGTGTTCAGTGTATCGTTTATCTAAGGGCAAATGCGTACTCATGGCTTCTTGCTTTGTGTTTCACACATCTAACGGAGATCGGACAATGCCAGCGTAATTCTACACCATCTCTGACTATGCAGTAAGTATCTTATGGTACGGGAGATGTTAA